CTCTGACCCTGAAGGAGCCATTCTCTCTCCTTCTCATCTGAATAAATCCTACTCTTTTAGGCCCACTCTTCCTTGTCCATGGATTTCATTCTTTGAATCTGTGAGACAAGAACCCAGAAAGAAGTCACTGGCAGACAGCTGAAGTCTGTTGCAACAAACACTATGGCAGCAGAGGCTGAAAATCCTTATGTTTATCTTTGTTTTTTTATACCTAGCAATCAAGGCAATTATTTTAAATTATGGCTTTTACCACCAACCTTCTTTACCAGGTTTTCCTTAAATACTTGGGCCAGAAAACTTATCCAAAGAGCTTTTTGTTTGAACTTCCTTTCTGAAATTTTGGTTCTCTTATAATTCCTGTTTAATCTGTTTATGTCAACTAAACAGGAGCTCCATTAATTTGAGAGACTTTAAAATCTAACTTATGTAAGTTATGTAGAGATAAGCAAAGGAATGCAAGTCTCTCAACAAACACCTTCAGAATTTCATACGCCTACAATAAAAGAATTTTATCCAACTCTTGGGTCCCTACTGAACACCAGAGGAGATTAGTAATAAATTCCTTCCTATTTCAGTATATATGTCTGCATACATATATATATATATATATATATATATATATATATATATATATATATATATATTAACACTACACTTTTTCCACATTGTCTAGTTTGAAATGAAAGAGAGAGAGAGAGACAGACAGACAGACAGACAAAGAGAGGAAAGGAGGAAGGGAGAAATCCGGCTACTCAACATCCTCCAGGTTGCTAAGAAAGTCATTAAGTCCCAGAGGAGCCTAAAGTAATCTTTCCCACCAAATCGCAGTCTCTTTCCATCACACTACATTCTCACTGATGTAAATGTCATTAAAAAAATTCATATATTGGTCTTTCCTTTAAAATCACGTGAAATTTCAWTTTTTTCTTAAACTTCTGCATGCATTCTCTTCTATTTGATGCTTAATCTGTTTTTGAACTAATTATCTTAAGTAGTCCATATAAATGATCTTTTTGTATGCCTAATTCCTAGAATAAATTGGGTGAGTGCCAAGTATAAATACAAGGATTACAACTATAAACATTTGTAAACAGCTAATTACTTTTCTTCTTCAAGGAGAGAAAAAGACATTTTCCACTTATGAACAAGTTTCCACATAGTAACCTTGCTTTTATAACTTCATCCATGAGCTAAAAAAGTAAGGACAAAACTTACCAATCTGATGCAGGAGGGAAGATACAAAATATCATAAGGAGCTGCTTTCTTCCTAGCAGGCAAAAACTTTTTTCTTGACCTTTTTTCAGTGAGGTCATAGGACTGCCTAAGTGAGACAAACGTGGAAGATTCCACAGACACTGGGAGGCTGCAACATGAATGTGAAACCAGTTGTTGGTCTGAAATGCCAGTAGACTGGCAGACAGACAGACAAATGTTGCTTGAGACAATCAGATACCCCAAATCAGCTTCCCAACACTGCTTCCACAAGTCTAGAAAGTATTTGTATGCTACTTAAAACCAGAACCAGACTTGACCAAGACCCAGAAAAAGGTGGAGGAGCAGCTGAAAACAGTCAGCAAGGGTAAAAGTTCTAATTGCCGAATGAGATTCACGACGTGTTCCTAGAGCAGAGAAGGTGCATTGCATATACAGTCTCCTTGGTACCTGAGTCACTTGGGCATCCCCATGGAGTGTTCAAGTTCCACAGGAAAACTCAGAGACAAAAACATTTAAGAAGAGAGTTGATTTTCAAATAAGACTGTGAGAAAATTTTCAGGCTTTAAAAGTACAGTTATTTGAAAGAAAAATAAATTTCATGAGTATAAATGTTGCTAAGTTAATAGTACTTATGTTATTAAGTTAACAATTAACCTGGTCAGAGAATAAAACAATATTCTCACACAATTATTCACCTCTCATCTTCAAACATCTTGAAAATCCCTTTTTCTTGGTTTATTTCAGGATGAGAAATCCCACCTACTTAACCTCCTCTAGCCATGAAATGCTTCATTAAATGAAGTCAAGGCAAAATACTTGGTTTTGCTAACTTCCAGGGCCCACAACTCAAGTTTAAATCAGAAGGAAGGGACATTTACATTTTTATTGCCAGGCAAGCTACAGGTTTGTCAGATGTTTACTTAAGGAAAAAAGAGTCAGAGTTGAAATCTTCAGCCCCTATTTTATCTTAATTATGTGATGGAGATTTGGTCAGCGGCTTTCAATTGGTGGCAATTTTCTCTCTACTTGAAATCCTTACCAGACATTGTTTTGGCAATTTCTAAAGATATTTTTGATTGTCATAAAGAAGGGAGAAGGAGGAATGCTACTGGTATCACCCAAAAGGCAGAGCCCAGGGATGATGCTAAATATCCCATAACACAAAGGAAAGCTCCCACAATAAAGAATTATGTGGTCCCAAACAGTGTCACTGTTGAGAAACCATGGCTTAGATTCAAGAGCCAGACCACCTGGGTTCAGTTCAACTTGAGCAATTACCAGTTCTGAAGCTCTGGACAGCTTACCATATTATGCTTTTGTTTTGCCATCTATAAACTGGAGAAGATAAATTAGTATCTATACTTCAAAAGGTTGTTGTGACTATTAAGTGCTATGTAACTGTTTACTATGGTAATTTATTGAAAAATACACTATTTCGCCATTTTCTTGGATTGCTACATCCATACCAGTATCATTTAATTATGTTTCCTTTTATCTACATCTAAATTTTTTCTGCCATGTTTTCACTTCTAGGTGTGGAGGCATCATCAAAAGACTAAATCTTCAGTTCAGTACAACTAATCACTTCCTATCAGCCATTTATTTGGATCAAGGTGTTCGGTGTACAGAAGAGTTAACATAGTTGTCTGAAAGGAGGTCTGCCAAATATGTTCACCCTTGTTCTCAGGTTTTTGAGAACTCAGGGTTTAGCAGTTTTCCTATCAATTCCCCAAACTGATGAAGTGGCTAAGTCTGACCACACAAAAAAACATGGTTTATACCAAACATACACTTTTCTTTTGAATCTGGAATTTTGGTAAGTGCCAGGCAGAAGGTACTTACATGACTTGCTTCCAAATAAAAAAAATATATAAACTCTCAAATGAGTTTCTCTAGATGGCAACATTTTTTCATAAGATAAAGAACTACTGGAAGCTTTGAGCCTGTTTTCTTCCAAACTTAGTCCCAGAAGCTTTATCCCTTTGATCTAGTTCTATATCCTTTTACTGCAATAAATCTCAGCTATGACTATGACTATATATGCTCAGTGCTATGAACACTATGGCATTTCTCTCTTCCCCTTGCATTTTCTAGTTACTACTCTGGATCATTACCAGCAAAATCTTTCCACTTCTCATGAGATGCATTCTATCATCCCTCACTGAGTTCATTATTCTGTTATTCCCAGCCAAGTTACATTCTAATATCTGCTATATAATTAATTGTTAACTTTCTATGTTCTACCTTTTTCTCCCCAAAGTTAAATTTTGGGGAGAAATAGCAGGTTTAAAAAAAAATCATGTTTACAAATACAGTTTTTTTCAGTCTTTTTATGTTCCTTAACTAAAAAGAGACTACAATTCCTTTTTGTTTTGTTTCTCTCTCCCAATAATTTTTTTCAAACTATATCCCTTTTTATGTTAAAAGATTCTGTGGTTACTAAAGTTTGAAAAATGAGGCAAGCAACATTAAAGAGATTTCTCATAAAATTTCTTTGATATAATCATTTGAATTGTGTAGAAACATTATGGGGTTTTAGGTAGTTCTTACATAAAAGTATAAAACATTTTCCTTTTTTTTTTCTTTTTTTGGTGGGGGGCAGTCTGGAGGACTGAATCCAGTGTCTCTTGCATGCTACACAAGCACTCTACCAATGAGATGTATCCCCAGTCCTCAGGAATATCTTAAAGGGACTTATACTATCATTTTAAAAAATGTTATGTCAGTCCCTGGTGAGGTAGCAGTTATCATATCTGATGCATAAGCAGTCCATAAATATAACAACTCCACAAAAACTACAAATATTATGACCAACCAGGTATAAACACATTGCTGAGTACTAAAGCTAATATCTTTTAGAATAATAGAATTGTCTAAAATATTAGCCAAAAATATGAATTTGAAAATAACAATTATAAATTGTTAATAAATTACTAAGTATATTCTTGTCTGTGGGAAAATAACTTTATACTTTTATATGATAGGGCAGTATGAAGATTTTTTTAATGTTGTGATAGTAAGTTATTTGTTCCATAAAAGGAAAAATTAACTTTGGATGGCTTAAGTAACCAACCACTCAACAGGTGATCTATCATCTTGGAATCTTACTTGCTTAATTTCTAAAATAAAAATATAATACATATAGATATTAGAAATAAGACTATTGAGCAAGTTTTTAAAAACAAATCAAATTACTAAATAAATTCAACAAAAATGTTTGTTAATACTTTATTAGTATTTCCTAATGGACAGAACATAAGGCAAACCAAATAAATTTTTTCATCTTCTCTTTAGGTAATAAAAATAACTGACATTCTGATTGTTTCTTCTTTGATAAGAAGGAAAGTTTTGATAGAACAGTTAGGCACACAGTTGACACTTACTGTACAATGATATGCACAAGGTATCTTTTAACAATTGTAATCCTTAAATGTGCTCTTTATATTTTCCCTTGTAATACAGGAGCCATGCTCCTATGAGCAATATTTGTCAATTATAAAAGAATTTTACAAGGAGTGACAAAAAGACTTTTAAAACAAGTCCTTAAATAAGAGGATGCAGCAACAACGGAATGTAAGTTGTTGGGTTAAGAAGACAGTTTAAACTACATCTCAAAACATTAAAAATTCATTTATTTTACAATTACTCAAATACACATGCATAAAATGAAAATATTGCACAAAATTAAAATTTTTAGATGTGAAATTTATATTGTTCTTAATTTTTTAAAAAATTGGTACACTTTCTGGTAGCACTTAACTGTATGATTTTTTTTCAAACACCAGCTGCACAAACTTAAAATGAGCAAACTGAAATATTCAGGAAAGTTTTTAATGTTTCTTTTTTTAAAAAAAATTAAGGCTAGCCAAGTGCATCCATTGGTCAATGGCACAATTGTTTTCAGCAACTATTTAGAACACCCTAATTATAGGAAATGCTCATCTAAGTGCTATGTTTAAATCATACAATCAAATTTTTAGGTGAATAAACTATGATGGTTTCTAAGTAGTTTACATGTTACCTGAAAAATCAGAAAACCCAAACAAAGATTGATTAATTTTGAAGGTTCATTGCCTAAAGGCACCACTGACTTAAAAACACATTCAAAAATCAAATATCAGAGGACATAACGCCTTTTCATGTATATATCCATGTATGCAATAAATGCATTCAATGTAACTTTATTAAACATAGTACACTGTACTTGACTCATGAGTTAAATATTTTACACACAGCTTGACCAAGTCATTTAAAAAGTATCTCTAATTTTAGCATGACCACGGCTCTCTCTGATGTAAAACACAGATGTGCATAGAGAAGATGCACCACCGTTTATAGACTACCATTTGACATTTCTGCTTTTGAAATATAAACTCTTTTAAACAAAATTTACTTTAAAAACCCATTTACTCAAATAGTTTTTGGTATGATTGCAGTTAACTTGCAGGGCTCGGTTAGGAAAATTTGCTATCCTACATGACCTTTCTTTCCCTGGTTGATGGTCAGTGTTCCTCACATTATATGGAGACTTTTTTTTTTTTCACATGTACACACTAGGCTCTTACATGAATTCTTCTGTATACACTTAATTTATTCATGTCAAAAATATACTTGAAATGGGCAGGGGTATGTATGAAAATCATTGCACTTATGGCCATGCTGATGCTTTCCACAGATAGGTTTCACATATCCCACTTTTACAACCTGGGGTGAGGGGAGGGGCTGGAACAGGGAGACAGACTAAGTAGAAGAAATAATTCTTCCATCACAGCCACTGAGCATCTTTTTACACTTGCAAGTTGCAATGAAAGGGATTTCATTTATGTAATTCTGAAGACATGCAACACATGCTGAGCATGTGTACACTGCAAGTACGCACACAGCATCATTAATAAATATGATTATTATAAAGCTTTGAAGGAAGGATTTATCCCATTAATAGGCTTCACTTTATAAGTAGGGTCTAAGTGAAAACAAGACACTAATATCTTGTTCCAATATTAAAGCTCCCAAATAACTGGGATACCAATGCTCTGTCCCTTTATCTTAAGCACCCGATCATTCTTTTAATCCTGGCTCAGTGGTCTGATAAGTAGCTTCACTATTTTAAGGTTTTAGTGTTAAAGATTTTTAAAACAAAAAAAGCTGACACATCCAAACCTTTAGTCAATGAAGTATTTAAAATTATGCAGAAATCCTGCACACAGGAGATATGAAGACTTTAGAGATGGACAAAACAAGAGTGAGGAAGCTAGGAAATGTAGAGGCTTCAAAACTGAAAAAAGTATTTGTTGGTATAAAATTATTTTAGGGACTTCAATGTATACACCAAGGGGTTTTGCCTACTAGCTTTATTTAGAATTTTACATTATGCGAAATATAAATAAAAGCATATTTTAAAAAATAGTAGAGTTCTGTTTTCATTATTTATTTTCATATATACACATAATAGAATTAGGAATTTGTATGTTTACATATGTCTAATACACTCATTAATCTTCTGATTTGCTATTTTTGTAGTTACCTAAGGCATGTCTAGATCACGCAATTTTAAAATTATCATATGGTAACTTTCAATAGAGTACTGTTTTCTTTTAATTTCCAAATTTTTAGAAGGACAGAATGTATTTGGCAGTTCCTCCAACAAATTATTCCCCTTCTGTATAATCAGTAATCTGTTAAAAACTAATAATTTTGAAACTTAAGTGAGAGCTACCACATGCTTCTTTTTCCACACAGAATGCCAAAAAAACTTAACAACTGAGAACCATAGAGCAAAACAAAGCCCTTAAAGCAAAAATGAATCAATTAAAAATTTGTTTTATACCAATGAATGATAAAATCCAACCAAATTCTATTTCTAGTTGGTTTCATTTTATACTGTTTTCTTTAATGTTACAAAACTGTAATTTGGGAATAAGGTTGTTTCATTCTGTAAGGGCATTCTGTCACTTTTCCCATATCTGAAACACATATTCTAAAGATCATTCACCTGGCAAGTCCACACTTACCTAAAATGATGACAAGGACCTACAAAATCATTACCAAAGCATACATTGCACAGTCTCCAACTATTAAAACAAATTAGTCAGTTTATTTGTGAACCACTGTTTTGTGCTTTCCTTAGCTCTCATATATACACTCTGGCACTTTGTCATTGCTGGAGAATGCTGATTAGTTTGAAACGGAAGAGACCAATGTCATTCTTGCATGAGATGAGGGCAGTATCCTCTCAAAGTTGCAAATTATGCACCAAATCATTTAAGACACAGAAATCTCTCGTGGTAGTGGCTGGATTACAGATGAGAATGAGAAGAACCAGAGTCTTACGGATGTATTAATATTCTATTTTGAGACACTAAAAGACTGGTGCAGACACAACAGTTTATGACTTAAGCCCCAGAAGATCTGTCCATACCATTAGTTCTGGACAAAATGAACACCAGCTTCATAGATTGGAGTGTCACCTTTTTTGTAAAGAAGGCGCTTGAGTAGTTTGAAGTTTCTGTTTATATTTCTGCATCTGCTTTGACCGTGAATGCAGTTTGTTGAAAAGTTCACGGAATTTATACTGTGGAAATAAGGTTTCTAAAAAGCCTTCCAAGAAGACATAAACCATTCTCCTATTTAGCTGGTTGTGCTGAAACATTTCAAAAACACGAAGAATGCCTTTCCGTGTTGTCTCAGCTCCAATAATGTGCTTCAGTTCATCTAAATCAAGAAGGGAAAAATACACAGAATTCATTGTTTAAATAAGGCAAACAAGGCTTAAGTTATGATCGTAAATGAAGTACGTAAAGCACACAATAGAGTAACTGATAAATAGCATGCATCCAGTTAATGCATTTCAGCTGTTTTATAACTGAGACTTAAAATTATGCATGTCTGCATGCATGCACTTACCATCCACTTATACAGTAGATACTGGGAAACAATATGGCACAGGGAGTGTAAGGATGCAAACTCAAAAGAGTGCAAATTATAGTCGCAATCCTGTCCTGTAATACCCATGTGATATCCTTTCTCTGTTTCCTCATTTATTAAGTGGGGATTTCTAATAGCCAATATCCTTATAAGCTGTCATCTGTAAATTCTATAACAGTACACAAACATTCTTACTATATCTAATGAGCAATCAGAAATGCTGTAAGTTAACAAACTAATCCAAGATTGTGAATAATGTTTTACCAGTACCCAAGGAAAAACCCCCACTAATCCATGATCTCAAAAAAAAAAAAAAAATACAACTGTAGCATAGGAATAGTGCCACAAAAATATTAAAAGTATAAAGATGTTTATTGTGAGATAATAAGGAAAGTGTGTCTTTATGGAAATGAAAACTAGTAGACTTTGCTACTTGGGCACAATTTTGATATATATCAAGAGATGAAGAATTAGACTTGGTGGAAAAAACATCAATGAACAAATGAATAGTAAGTGTAAAAACAACAATCATATTCAAGAAATGGGGGTAGAAAAGTCATGCTGAATTTTAGAATTCCTGTAAGAAAAAAGTAGAGAAGAGAATGGAAAAGTAAAGATGGTATGACAAGCAAGTTCGGAATTCACCCAATGAAATTATAGAGATAGTGGAGTACAGGAACAACATATATGATTATTCTAGAATTATTCATAATCAGAGCCCCAAGCATAAATATTATTTTTGTTCCTTGAGAAAGGAACCTGAAACTTCCAAAAGATCTGTACTTACCCAGGAGTATAATATAGTTTAAAGCAAATATGCTGCAAGTTTACTAAAAAGCAGGCAACGGATTATGTAAACACATAATCATATACTTTTCTTTCTTTTTCTTTTTTTAAAGAAGGAGAGAGAGAACTTTAATATTTATTTTTCAGTATTTGGCGGACACAGCATCTTTGTCTGTATGTGGTGCTGAGGATCGAACCCGGGCCGCACGCATGCCAGGCGAGCGCGCTACCACTTGAGCCATATCCCCAGCCCAATCATATACTTTTTTATCTACCTTCACTTAGATCTTCATACCAATGTCATCTCAGTGAGGCCTCCTCCCTTGGTCATTCTATCTACAAATGTAATGCACCTGACATTACTCATGCCCCTTCCCTGCATTACTTTTCTTCTTAGTATTTACCACTATTATACTATACTTAATTATTTGTTTTGGGGGTATCTTCCTAAGAGAATGTAAGCTTCAAGAAAGCAATGCTATATGCAAAGAACAGTGCCTGATATGATACACTTTCAATAAATATTTACTAAATAAGTGAATTAAGATTCCTTCCAGTTGTACAATTAAATCTGTCTGTAGCACAATCTGGTTATCATAAAAGTATATGAAATATCCTATACAGTTATATTGTGTGAACATATGAATATGCAACAAGTCCTACCATTAAGTACAACTATATGCACAAATATAAAATATGGAAAAATATTCTAAAAGTTACTGTTTGTTTTTCTAAAATGTTATTCCTTTGCTTTAACACCACCAAGTGCAATAGTATATGTAAGAATTTCTTAAGTTATGTGGCAAATTTCTAATTTAATTGACATAGGAGAAAGCATAAAGTTTTATAAGCACAGAAATTGGTACTGTATGATAGTAAAGAATTTATAAATATGTCTTGTCCATTTTCTACATCCATAATTAAAATACAGAGAAAAGTTATCTAGGCATTTTTAAAGATATTTATAAAAAAAATAAGGGACAAAACCTCCTGCTAGCCATACAAAACCAATTTTCATATTATACATACAGCCTCTCTCTTATAAGAAGACAAATGGAACACATTCTTCTAAGAGAGTCAGCCATATCCTAAGCAAGTAACTCAAATTAGAGTTACTATGTATCCCCTTTGGGATTAAAATTTAAATCACTGAAAATTAATAATAGACCAATCAGTTGTTTCTATGTGGAACAAACATTTTTTTCTTAAAAATCCCCATTTCATATTCTTTTATTAGGCCATTCATCCATCACATATTTAATGATTTAATAACCAAAATGTTTTAATGCAGCAGAGTGAAGTGGTTAAAAGCACACACTTTCAATTCACTCAAAGATGAGTCAGTCCTGTCACTTAGGAGTTAGAAATCTTTGGTAGATTATTTAGCCTCTCTGAGCACTGTTTCCATACATATAAAGCTATGATATTAATAGTGTTTTGTTTTACAGGACTGCTGGTTAATTAAGAATATATAAGAAATACCTAGCACAATTATATAGTAAACCATTAAGATAGTAGTTATTATAATAAAATGAAATAGCTAATCTAGCATGATAAATTCTAAAAATTCAGAACTACAAATTACATGCTCACTCACCTGGCATAATTGCAAATAATTTAGTTTTTCCTGCAATTCTTGTTCTCATTCGAATAGCTTTATCTCTGCATGGAACAGACTCTGCTAAAATGCCATTTGGCCAAAATGCATCTCTGTTAGAGAAGATTAAAAATCTCTGTAAATATTTTCATTTCTAATGACATAAGTTAATAAAATTATTTCAAATTTCTATAGAAAACATAAATGTGAATGGAAAGATAAAACATTTCTGAAAATKTATATAGTTATAATGATATTCAACAAAAAACAACTAAGTGCAAGATTTAATTTTAGGTGTAAGAGGATATACAAAGAATAATGGCAGATATATTCTGCCCTTCGGTAGCTCATAAACACAAAGACAACAAAATGGAATATACAAACATAACCAAACATTTAAACTCAAAAGTCAGAACCTCTGGTGAGACTGAAAATTGGTGCAACCACTATGGAAAACAGTACGGAGATTCCTTAGAAAACTTGAAACACTACTACCATTTGACCCAGTTATCCTACCGTAGGTTTATACCCAAAGGACTTAAAATCAGCATACTACAGTGACGCAGCCATATTAATGTTTATAGCAGCTCAACTCATAATAGCTAAACTATGGAACCAACCTAGTTGCCCTTTAACAGATGAATGGATAAAGAAATTGTGATATATATATATATATAAATGGAATATTACTCGGCCTTAAAGAACAATGAAATTATAGCATCTACCAATAAATGGATGAAACTGGAGAATATCATTGTAAGTGAAATAAGCCAATCCCACAGAACCAAAGCCAAATGTTTTCTCTGATATGCAGATGCTAATTCACAATAAGGGGGCGGGGAGAAGAACAGAAGCATTCTAAATTAGATAGAGGTGAGTAAAGGGAGAAGAGGGGGTAAAGGGGTAGGAATAATAGTAGAATGAATCAGATATTATTACCCTATGTGCATATATATGACCTATGTAACTCTACATCATGTACAACCAAAAAAATTCGAAGTTATACTCCACTTATGTATGATGTGTCAAAATGCATTCTACCATCATGTATAAGTAATTAGAATTTAAAAATTTTGAAAAAAAAAAAAGTGAGCACCTGCTGACTGAACAATTCATCCCCAAACTTATGAGATCTTAAATTTGGATACCTTAAAGTTTAACAGCTATTCTCAGTTGGGCCACTCCATTCTCCTTATAACTAATTCAACATAAAACTACATCCCATGCCCACAACTTATAACTGGATTGAGTACAGTAGTCCGATCACACATACAATAACCCATTCACCTTGACTTTCACATTATATTTGATTCCCATTTCCTAATGTTTGGTCCAAAGGCAGGAACTAAGCGAGAGAAACTTGCTCTATCCAGAATTGATCTGAGAGAGAGAAACTCCCCAAAACAATCCCTGCATTAGAAATCCTGGGAGCTTTAAAAAATCTGAAATGTCCAGGCCTTCCACTTGGTTATCTAAGACAGCCAGCCCTTCAAGCATTGGTGCATGTTAAAGCTCTCTGGGTGTTTCCAACATACAGGCAAGGCTAGAAATCAATGCTACAGAGAAACATCATTTTTCTACCCTGAAACAAAATGAACATGCCAGGGCAGATATTCCAATTTCTGGTACAAAGGGGAGAAACTGTAAAAAAGCCAGATCTCTCATTTTCTATCATATGTGCCTTTGGGCACACTACTTCTCTTAATCTTTAATTTTCTCATCTTATCTCTCACTCCTCAATGATTGGCACAGGGGAGGAACCCCATATATTTTTGTATATGAACGCAGAAATTAATGTGTCAAAGCTATTTAATTTGTATTATCCTCAAAAGCTCAAATATGTAATTAAAAATTAGACCATGGCCAGAGAGAGATACTCTCTTAGGAAGTTTCACTTAAAATCAAGGTTAGTAAATACAACTAAAAAAAACCTAATCTCTAAAACTAGTATTTTATTATATTGCAATCTCTATACAAATATTGATTATCTTAAAGTTATAGTACTGTGATAAAATGTAGCCAATCATCTCATTTTTTTCTTTATATTCTTTCTATTCTCTTTTTAATAATACAAAGACGAATAGTTTCATGAAACAAATGTTTCTTACAATGCTTACAATTCTTTATGTTCACCAATGATGAGCAGAAACCAACTTTATGGCCCGGAAAGAAATAAAAGTAGTAAAAATTAGTGATAACAATGCTAAACTCTGTACTACCTGAAAGAAGTGACCGTGTCTTAAGATATACCTGAAACGTTTCACTGAGTCAGCTACTTGTTCAGGTGAGGTCATCCAATCAACATGGTCAACTATTTTTCTGAAAGCAAATAAATTTAAATGAATATACTTAAAATTTTAAAAGGTGAATAAAATAAATACAACTTTTATAAAGCATGCACACTAATCTGGGTATAAATATCTCTGAGAGCAACAGACTGTTTTAATTATCTTCTTAAAGGCCTAGAGAAGATATTCTGCCATGAAGGTTGAGAAATCTATTTCTAGAAGTGAAAGTTTAAAAGATAAGTAATAAATAAGATCAAGCTCCAAAGGTATGGGAGGGATGTACCTATTTATAGTATCACCATATGTAGCTCTAATAAGCTGCTGAAGTAAGTTTTTGATATTTCTTCGCAACCACTGATTTCTCTCTTTTAAGTCGAATACTTCATCCATGAGAAGCAGCATTACCCTAAGTGGAATATTGTCATCCACCTGACAAAATATGGGAAGAAACAGAAATAAATGTATCAGAGTTACATCCACTATGAATGGTTATTTTGCTGCTTTTACAAACTGGTACTATTTCAGTAAATTAGAGAACAAGTTACATGATAGCCCTCAAAATTTGATGTTTCATTCTAATTTAGGAAAAAAAATATTTTTTTAGCAGTAATTTTGCCAGAATAGAAAATTTTATAATGATGAGTAAATTCCAAGGCTGTAGGGGAGAAAAAAACCCCCACAAACTTCTAAAAGTATATCCATCAAAGGGGGGTTCATGATGGCATAACAAAAGATGATTTCTCTCTCATAACTTTTAATAGAGGTTGTACTAGTTTGATCAAGCAAATGCTAGACTCTTTGCTTACTTTATCATATTTCTCATAAGGATGAAATATTCTCAATATCACTGTTTTTAATAGTATAAAACAACACAGAATAAAGTGTTTGGCTTAGTGAGTAAGTTGCGAATAATTAGGTGTTTTAAGGAAAAAGAAGTTGAAATTCAATTCAACCTACATCTAAATTAACATTATAAAGCCACATTTCACTAGCCTAGTAGAATTTTCCTTTAGCTTTTAACAACAGAAAATTAGTACACTTTCATTATGAGTATTCAATCAATGAGATTACAAATTAAGAAGTGGAATGCTTTCATGTGCAAAATTATGCAGGAAGTAAAAAACAGGTAAAGATTTAGGATTACACAGAATTGTCAGTAATTTTGTAATTTTTTTCACCAATGAGATTTTCTTCCCAATTATTTTCTCATCAATGTTACAATTTAAATATAGAAAAAAGAATATCTCATTATCATGTTGTAAACATTTTCTTAGTGTACTTTTCATTCCACAAAAGAAGATTATTATAACTTTAAAATAGCTTAAACAAACCAGAAGGGAAAGGGAGACTCATTTCATTACCAAGGCAGAATAAATACTGCTCCATTTTCTAATAAAGCATATTCACATAGGTTTGGTGCCATACAACAATTCTAATAAGTAAGTAAACTGTAAACACCACRAACAAAAAGTTATGATGTTATGGATATTATACAAGCAAAACTTGTAATAAAACATCATAATCTTGAAAAGGCAACAATTTAAGGCAGTTTATTATAAATAAATTTAATTGGAAATTTAAAGGAGATTGTTATTACTTCAAAATAAATCTGCCTAATAGAACAGAATACAGAGCCTAAAAACAAAATTCAAATAAATATAAATAATCTGATTTATGATAAGACAGAAACACAATATAGGGAAGAACAGGTCTTTTCAGTAAAAGATGTTTGGATCAACAGGACCTCTACCTCATTCCATATGTAAAAGTTAATCCCAGATGAACTGCAAATCTAAATGATAGCACAGTAAAACAAAAAGCATTTTAAAGAAAATCACAGGATATTTCATGACTGTGCAGTAGGCACAGAGCAGATTATAAAATGCATTCTAGTAAAAAGAAAAAGAGAGCTATGCAATAGACATGGGGAAAAGATCTGGATACCCACATAAGACAGTGCACCAAGTAGTTGATAAACATGAAAAAAGGTTCAACATTTCAGTCATCAGACAAATGTAAATCCACATGAAAAACAACAATTAGAATGGCTAAAATTAAACACAAAATACTGAATATTGAGCAGGATGTATACCTTTTAGCCCAGAAATTTCATTCCTAGGTGTAGACCTAACAGAAATGAGTGCTAGCTATTTTTTTTAATCCTAAAACACGTACTAGAATGTTCACAGGAGTTTTATGCATATTGAACAAATTGTGCTCAATTTACAGAGAAATACTACAAAGCCACAAGAACAAAGAAACTACAATCATACAAAACAAAATGGAAGAACATTGCAATGTTAAGCAAAGAAGCCAGACTTAAAGGAGCACCTACATTACAGTTTTTCTTACATAAAGCATAAAGGCATGGTAAAGTTAGGGGTTGAAATTATCCTCGGTGAAGACAAGAGAGTTTAAGGGCCAATCTGGAGTACTGGAAATTTTTTATTATTTCAATTACAGTGAAGATTACATGGACATGTATAGTTTTTAAAAATTCACCAAGATTAACACAATATGTGTATATGAATGATACATATTTATCAAAAAGTTAAGATCTGCCAAGTATAGTGTGAATTCCAACTATTATATTTATTACCAAGAATAAAATTAACTCACATTATCATCAAGTTGAGCTGAGACTCGACAATGTTCAGGATCTGAATCAGTCTTTGTAATTAAAGGAGGCACCTAATATTTAAAAAAAAAAAAAGAAGAAAAAGTAAACACAACAAAGTAGGCACTGAAAGAACACAACATAATAACAAAACAAAACAAATACCACCATTTGATTTGATTTTTGGTACAATATATAAGCATTTAAAAAATTTAGAATGGGAGACCTATATAAAAGAATGTTTATTTCATTACCCAAGGTTTTTTTCTTTAAAAATGAATTGACTTTTGARTTTGGAAGGAGAAATTACTTAGTCAAACATCCACACTTTGTAGAAGAATTTAAAACTACTAGAGGTTAAGTGAATGGAAAACTAAACAGGCGCATAGCCAGAGAACAGAACTCTAATCTTCTTATACCATAAAAAGCTCTTGATAATATGTTAATAGGTTTAAGGAATTAACTCATTGTTACATAAGTTAAGAGGACAGAAAACAGAAAGAACCATATTAGTTGAAAATCATTTGTCAGCATCAAAGGAACATTACAATCACCTATTTTAACCCCTTGAAGTTCTGGTAATGACCAAAAAAACCTAGAAAAGTTCAATGATTTTAGCACAAAGTCACAAATATTATGGCATCAGAAATAGTACTGTTACTCATTTCAGTGTTGGTATATTTTCCATCACTAGAAATAAAACTGGAGCATTATGAGAAGCATAAGAATTGATAGAAAAGTAAGATTTACCCACACTATTTTAGAAATTGTCTTTTATATCAAAGAATATATACTTACGTATATTTGCCCTTCATTCAAACCTGACCAATCTTAAAGAGTATATCAAAATTATTTTAAAAATATAAATTAAAAATGCACCAAACTACTTGGTCCAGTAGCTTGATCTGCTAACGTAATGAAAACRCTTCCTGGGAAACTTCGGTGCCATTAGGAAGAACATACACAGTATTGCACAGACCCATAAGCTGACATGGATAAAGACTTTTCCTCCCTTAGATCTGGTCATCTCTCCAACATATGAATCAGGAGAAATTATAACTTTTGTGTTTCCTGAGAGAATACTAGTGTAGCTTATTTGTGAATAACATTTACTTGTTTGCTACAGGATTTATAGTATTATAGATTTGCATAATGAAATAAAATAATTTAAAAAGCAACTTTACTAATTTTACATATTGTTTTAAATGGGTTTTAGAAGTCTATGAGAGCAAAGACTGATGAGTGACTGGATTTTTCAGCCTCCATTTCTGATTAAAAAAAAACTTCCTTTCTTGCTTTTCATTTACAAGACTATACATCTAAAGTACTTCGGAAAGAAAATAAGGTAAATCTATGCAAGGAATTCAATACATCTTACTTGACTTAAAAATAGTTTGTTTTATACATTACTGAGAGTATCTTCTTACCTTGAAAAATGACTGCTTTATGTCTTGACCTAATCTTTCTGACATTTTGCCCATGTTGTCTGACATTTTAGTCATTCCTTCTGCCAAACTATCAGGAAGGGATTTAACTGCATTTGAAACATTCCTCATAGAATTTCGAAGTGGATTTACAAAAGTGTCCATCTAAAGGGAAAAAGGTATTGTACCATGACATCATTGTATCAGACATGTTATTCAACCCAGAAGTCCAGAAAAATGCAGAAATGTAATACATTAAATATACAATCATTTTCAGTCTGTACTATATCATTGCATCTTAAAGATATGTTGTCTTCTGTGTGTCTTAAAAATGTATTTTTACATTCACACTTATGATTTAAAAATTTGACTAATGTGGTTACAAAATAAATATAAGCTTTCACTGCCTTCTTATTAAAGAAATTCTGAATAAAACAGTTTTACAAAACAAATTGAAGTTACTTGAGTTAGCCATTATATACTTTTTAAAAATATATATACATTTTTAGTTGTAGACAAACACAATACCTGTATTTTATTTGTTTTTTTAATGTGGTGCTGAGGATCAGTACCCAGTGACTCACACATGTATGGCAAACACTCTACCAACTGAGCTACAAATCCAGCCCCAGCCATTATATATTTTAATCGAAATACAAATCAAACAATCAGATATTTTGGGCATATACTTAAAAGAAAGCAAGCTAGTAAAATGAATAATTGGAAAGCTGAAGAAACTATTTAGATTTCTTTTTTAAAAATAATTTTTAGGATACATAATATGTTCAGTTAGACTTTATCAAGAAAATTTGAAGCCCATTAAAAAGAAATAGAGAAGTTACAAATTAGAAAGGTAAATAATACCTTTTAAAGATAAAATATAAAAATTATATACAGAAGAAAATATAAACAGAGAGATATAAAAAGAAATAAAACTCTCCAGAGAAACAGGAAACAAAACCTGATATTCTAACTGTACAAATGTCAAATACTTTTAATTAAGTAAAGGAAAGACATCTAAAGAAACCAAAAAAAGTATAAAAGGGGTCTCTGAGAGATTTTTAACAAAGAAAAAGAAAAACACAAACCCAGTTGTACAAAACTGAAGAATATATTTTAGAAAGCACTGAGTCTCATAAAAGCTGTCAAGGAAAATAAATAATGTCTCATGAAAGAAAGAAGAAAACAAAATAATAGTAACAAAAATGAACCTTATTGCTTAAGGAATATAACAATGTTAATAGATGATAGCAAGGAGACAAAACTTCTTCACTCTAATTATGTTTCCATGGCTTCAATTAAAACAAAATCTTTGAAAAGGTGAAATAACTAGAACAATAACAAAACAAATTCAAGATAACTGTAAAAGGATTGGAAGCTCTGGTTACTCTATGGCTTAAACTGAGTCAATAATACTAATAATACTACAATAATACTACTATGCTTCATGGAAAAACCAATTTAGGAAGGACACTGTCAGAATATACCCCAGAGTAGAACCAAAGGACAGAAATCAGGATGAAGGAGGATTTTCAAAAATCCTATCACTGGTAAAGAGAAATAGAAGGATTAAAAAGATGAAACTAATTTTTGCCTTTCTAATTCTATATACTACATATTTTTGGTTCACCAGAACAGTCTGTCCAAATCAATCAGGACATTATTTCCAAAACTACTTTTTAAAAACTGCAATTAATATTGTAAATCACACATGAAGATTCTAAAGAATGAGGCCTGGGGAGGGGAGGGAGGGACGGGAGGGAGGGAGGGAGGGAGGGAGGGAGGGAGGGAAGGAAGGAAGGAAGGAAGGAAGGAAGGAAGGAAGGAAGGAAGGAAGGAAGGAAGGA